CGAGTTCGTATCGTCCCACCTGTCCTTCCTGCAGAAGCTGACCAATCAGCTGATCTTTGTGTACTTTGCGACTGACAATAAGGAAGCGCTGCCGCCCCTGTCCGTATGATTTGCTCCGTAGGCCGTATTTCTGAGAAATCTGGTGGATCTGTTTGCGTTCGTCGTTGGTGAGGTCGGTGGAGAAGCGGAGATCATCCTGACGGTCTGAACTGGCGTAGTTACGAATGATGTCCTCAATGTCGCGCTTGCTCAGTTGATTTCCTGCTTTGTCCATGTCCATACCCAGCCCCTCTCTGGAAAACTGCTCCTTCACTCTGATTGGTTCTGCAATGCCCTCACCATCTCGACCCAGGCCGCCGCCCTTCCAGCCCATCTTGCGGAGCAGCTGGTTTCCGATGTTGTCTTCTTTTATCTCCTGTCTTGTGGCCTCCTCACCAGAGCGAGCCAGGATCTGGGATCTGGATATGGCGTCATTGTGACCCTCCTTTCTTAGGTTGGATTTCACCACGGCCTGAGTTTGTTTCAAAGTTTCCAGAGCCTCCGTCGCTGCAATGTGCTTCACTATTTTCTTGGACCCAATTCCTGCTGCCACATACTGTCCTTCTAAGTAAACTTCACACCTCCAGCGATGATCGGGCAGGACGGTGAATTTGTAATCAGCAGTCACTTTATTAAATTGTGCTGTGTCATTGATGATACAAATAGCATTGTCAGAGTTTTCCAGGATAACCAACTCACTCAGATGCTTCTTTTTGCCGCCCTGTTGCCCAAAGCGTCCTGCAAATTCTGACGGGTTATTTCCTCTGGAGTACTGTGGGGGCTGTTGTGGTTGTTGCTGCTGCTGCTGCTGTTGCTGCTGCTGTTGCTGTCGTTGTGCCTGGTTCATGCGAAGTTTCCTCACTGCCTCTGCTGCTGCTGAGTGCTTGGAGCTCTTTTTTGTGCCTGTTGACTGTGCAACCAGCTCATCCTGCAGAAAGACGCTGCACAGCCAAGCGCTGTTGGGGAGGAGGTCGAACTTGTAGTCTATCTTCATGCGATTAAAAGCCGCGGAGTTGTTGAGAATGCAGATGGCGTCGTGGGCATTGTCCATGACCACAAACTCTGTCCAGTGCTTGCGTTTGTCAGGCTCGTATTGGCCTTTTGAGCTGGGCGTTGGTTTATCCTCTGGATTGCGGAGTGCAGGTAAAAAGGCTGGGGTAGGGCTGTGCATCTGGCAAACAACTATGTCATTGACAGTCGAGTGTCTGAATTTGCGCTGCGCAACACGAACTTCAACTTGTTTCAGGAAGAGTTTTACAGCCTGCTCAGACGCTCGGTCTCTCGCCCCATTTTTACTGCCGGAGTATCCAGTAGCAAGGTACACACCCTGACATCTCAGTTCACAGGCATAACCGTCTGTTGGTACTTTCCTGTTCTTGGGTAGGTCAGCCTGAGGAATGTCCTTCAGATTGACATAAATATACTCTGGGTTGGTCTTGCAGGCCTGAATGCTGCGGCTCAACATGAAATTATAGTTTTGTGATTCACTTCCGGTCATATACATGGGGTCCCTAGAAGCAAAAGCCAACGCAGATGCTACACTTTGAATCAGCCTTTGCTTGTCATCCAATGTTGACTGAGCTATAGCAAGAGGCTGCGATGAAGAGCCCAGCTGTGACGTGCTCGGACTGCTCCTGCCTGGACTGTTGTACACTCTGCTGAATGGTCTGCTTGATGACGGCCGGTCTTGATAACCGTATCCCAAACCCTGGCGTCCTGAATCCCAACCTCCTGACCTGCCCGCTCCAGCATATCCATTATACCTGTGGGGCTGAGAATAGTCTGAATTTCGAGAGGAGTAGGAATCATACTTGGCTGTATAGTCCTGTTGTGTTTTTGCCATGAAGTTTGTAGAGGACCCACGTCCTCCATAACCTAAGCCACTCGTACTACCTAGAGAAATCCCTCTGTCTCTGTCTCTATCTCTATGGGAACCCCAAGAGTCCGACGTGTGCGATGGCACTCTGTCAAAAGCAGACCTCAGGGAAGAGGAGCCCTGTGCTCTGCTGGTGCTGCTGTAGGAGGAGTGCTCAGAGTCCCACTGTCTCATTCCGTATAACTCACTCCTCCTGCGCTCCTTATCGTTCTCCTTCTCGTCGGTGCCGGTTCCTCCGCTGCTTCCACCACTGACAAAGTGAACAGGCTCAAATCGAGGTCTGGAACCAAATTTTGACACAGGCATTTTCCTCATGGGCTCGTCTCCTGCAATGACACGTAAACAGTTCATCTTAGATGGGCACAACAAGGTCATAATGATAGAAGTCCTAGGAAAGTGATCTGAGAGTGTAATTTCACTAATTAACAGAATATTGCAGCAGAATATTGCAGCAGAATATTGCGAGAATCTGCAGTAAGCCTGCACGTTAAAGACTGTAAAATTGGCAGCAATATTAATGACTGAACAGTTTCCTCCAGCAAGGCAGAGGTATATGTTATATCTTATCCTACCTGTCAGGACATGAAGGTCCAAGCTTATGAAGGATGAGTCCCCTCAGACTCGATTACCTTATTATCAGATATTGTTGTCAAAGCTTCATATATCTCATTCCTCTGTTATATAGGACTCCATTGTTGTCTCAAAAACCACTAAAAAGACAAGAGCCACAAGGTTGCACCTGGTGACATGTTCCTTCATTTTGATGAACACAAACAAAACTTTCTGCTGCGGAAAAATACTCCCTAACAAATTCCTTCTTTACTCCTGTTTGACTAATATTTGCTAAAAATCTACAGCACCCAACAGTTAAAGAAATGTTGTGGTTTTTTAAATGAAAGTTTATATTTGTGACATGTCTTTAGAAATTTACATCTAGAGTAAGAAGGAGAGCTACAAGCAGACTGAAGAGGTTGGGAGGTATGAGGAGACATGATGATACTGTTTATTTTTTCATTTAATCTATCGAATTGACTTTGATATTTGTCATTTTCTATCTGGTTTTATTTTAATTTATATATTACTCATTTATTGTTTGGATTTTTTCAAAATATCCTTTTTCCTTGATTTTCAGTTTACATTGTTTCACCATTTACATTTGAGCTGTCTTGTCCATCATCTTTAAAGTGCTTTGAAATGCACGTGTACGACAGGTGAGATACAAGTAACACTAGATAAAACTCTGACTCCTGTTGCTGCTCGCGGGACTCAACCTGACAAACCTTCAACTTTAATTTATTTGTTTTTCCTCCAAGATAAGGTGTTGCTCAATTACTGACCTTTGCACACATCTAACGACAAATTCTAGAAATGTGAAATAAATATTTCCGGGGGGTTATTAAGATGTAAAAGATGTAAACTGTCAGTGACAACATGGACCCAGATTGACACTCACTGCCATCAGAAGAAGAAGGTCTCTTTTTTGCTTCAGAACTAGGACTTGGGTCAAAGGAGGGCATTTCGACACTGTCTGTCCCTTCTGCCATCACCAGCACCGTCCGAATCAAACCCAGGCCATACCTGGTGTCAAGGTACAAGTCAAACATTAACAACATCAGTGGATGAGGTAAACAAGCACAGACGTCAGCATCAGAATGTGTCGATGCTCTCTGCTGCCTGTGGAGGCTAAAAACATTCCCTGGAAAGCAGACAGCACCTCGCAGCAGCATGCAGTCACTGACATACAAACTACACATCTGGATCACACGTGTTACACGGCTACACATCTGGTGGGTATGATGGTAGAAGTGGAGAAAACAGCTGGATTTGGTTTCAAACACAAAGCCTGAACACAGTGACGCAGTAGGCCGACAGGATGCACCTCTCCCAGGCTAACACGTTTAGCATTTAGCTCAACATTACTTCTCAACGTTTGAATATCTCAGTGTTGTGTTCGTACCTGAAGGTGCAGCCTTTCCCCCGATTTATATCACTTTCATTTAGCTGAGCAGGAGGCAGCAAGTTTATTTTTATTCAGTTTTCCCGGTTGTTATTGTCGTGCTAGCCTAGCGACTGCTAGCATTAGCCAAATAACATGTGGCTAACTCCAGCGGCCACAAACTGCTCATGCTGTTTTCCACTCGGCTCCTCGCAGCGAGCCGATGCCCAGACTCGCCTTCCTTTTTCTGGGATGTGCAGGTGAGACCTCTCGGGAGAAGAAACAGCCGCCCGCTCAGCTACAGCTGGAATCATCCATTTTCTTCTCCGGCTACGGTAAAAGTCATGGCGTCTGTCACCGCACTCTCCCAGAATGCTTTGCAGCAGCAGCAGGGTTCAGAGCGGCCTGCTCCGCTCGGACCTGATTTCCTCCAGTGAAGCTCACGTGTTCACTCAGACCTGGAGATGCGGCTCACATCTTCATGCAGCAGGAAACATCCTCCACTGACAGCAGAGAGCTCGAGTCTGAACATGTGTAGAAATATGAATATATGTGCACTGTTAAAAAATGTCTTAGTGGCATGGGTGAGTTGATCTAGTCATGTGATGATATAGTAAAACAACAATATTGAACAAACACAGTTATTCTTCAGTAGAATAATTTCCACTATCCGCTTTCTTACACTGTGGAATAAGGTTTTGTCCCCATTATATTAAACTTACTTATAAGGAGAAGCGTAATGCGTGAAACTTTTGTTTTGACTCTGCAGCGGGAGCTTCAGAATAATAAACCTTAAATAGAAAAGCTTCCTAGAAGTGGATGATATTTCCACACCATTAATACAGGTTTCTCTTTTATATTTAAAATGTCCTATTTCATATGTGAATGCTGTAAACAATGTGTTTTATATGTAATGTTACTTTTTAGTAGTCACTCTTAAAATAATGCAGCTTCTATAACTTAAAATAAATTCTTCACAACACAGGAGCTATTGAACTGATTGCATTCATTCATTGCATTTTATAGTATACAGGAGTTTCACAGTCCATTAAAGCAACAGTGCTGATGTCCAAAAGCAGTAATGAACATTATGAACATGGTCATTCGTGACTACTTACTACACTGAACAAAAGACAAGAGCTTCACGTGTTTGGATCCGATTTTTTTTATTGAAAATGTACATCAATGGAATCAAACTAAAGTAAGATATTGAATAAATTGTAGTATGGGAGATTTTCTGACTACAAGAGGTGATGACTGATACTAGAAAAATGTATGGCAATGTCTGACACCAAAATGTTACTTTACACTCAGAGACACGTCCAAAGATCATAGGTAATAAACAACAAGTCTCCACTTCAATACACAAAATATATCCTTATAAATTATATAAATGCAGAAGTATTTTTTAATACTCGATCTATCTGGGATTCAGTTTGACTTCATCTTATTCTAATATTTGGCAAAATGGGAGCTGAAATCAGAGGACAGATAAAATATACAATAATCATTTGCACCTTTTTTGAAAAAAAACAACAACAATAAAGTTGCAATAAACTGCAAAACTTGAGTTATTAGGGGATAAAAACAAGCAGGTCAAAGATCACAGCAGTAACCGAATCAAAAGATGCATGCAAAATATAGGATAGGCCTGTGAATATTAAAGCACAGTGTGTAATTAAAGGCCATGACATGTGATCTCCATGGTATTCAACAGTGACATGTAAACATGGGCACCTTAAAATGCAGTGCTAAGTATAAATATTGCTTTGGCTTTTGCATGAATATGACTGTAATTTAATTCTGGTGTTTAAGTTTTGATGTTCAGAAAACCTGGAAGCAGGAGATTTTAATTTTTAACGGGACTGGATGAGAGAGAACAACACGTCTTTTCATTATACTGTACGTCATAATGCATCAGTGCATTAAGTGCCTCTGTCCATGAGTTTCTGTTTAACCAGCGTGTTGTACAGTGCACTCAAAAATGTGTTTACTAACATTAAATCACTTCAGTTAATGTCACACAAATGAATTACATTTTTCAAATCAAAGTTATCGATTGTGTTGATATAACTTGCAAACTTACAGTTAAAAAACACAAGATTGTAATAACTTCATTAATTTGTGTTACCACTTGAGGTAATTTCAAGTTCTAAAAAAAAGGAAGTTGTTGACCAACTCAAAAAACCCATTTATAAAACAATCGATAACTTGAATTTGAAAGAATGTGTTTCACCATTTGAAGCACATTTTAGGTACTTTAAGCTGGCAGAACATTTTTCTTGTTTCATTGTAGCGTTTAATTCTAATGTTTGCTTTTTAATCTAAGAATCCTACGAAGATGAGTGCACGGTGTCGGTCATTGCATAAGTTCTCCAGTCCTGTAAATGTGTAAATCCCCTACTGGTGACTTAATTGAACTACAAGAATTGCTTTATTTACATTAAGACATAAACTATATTTAAACTAAACTGTGCCCGGTTCCCAACGTGCCTCGGTCTAGATCTTCATTGGGTCGTCAGAAATACCATGAGAGTCCACATAAGGCCATATTTAACAAAAGAAGATGGGATGGGGGAGAAAATATAAAAGGTTGATACAGCGAGAGAAAACTGGAAGAGGTAAAGGGTGCTTAGTTCTGGCCGAAGCTGCAATCCCCTCTTCAGGTGGCCAAGACAGATTAAAAGAAGCTGAAGAGACAAAGAGAAAGAAAGCCGGCCGTTAGGAGAGGTGGGCAAAGCAGAATATTAACGTCAGGGTCAAAGATTAAAAGTGCATCAGATATGAGGAAGGAAAAAAAGTGATCATAAACACAAAATCAGACAGTAAAGTCCGTGATTGTACAGTCATTTAAACAACACATTAAGTGTGAATAAGAAGAGGATATTGTGCCCACAGACTTTTTTAAAACAGTGAACATATTTTGTAGGATGTGCGCAAATTCCACATGAGTATCTGATTGAATGTGATCCATGTGAGTGAGACAAAATCTATGTGCTTTCCAAATATTACAATAAAACAAGTGTGCACATCACTCCATCACAACCCAAGTGGAAAAAGGTGTTAGTTTCAGCAAAAAACAGGACACACACAGAAGCAGTAAAGCAAGGTTGAGGTCACCTGAGGTGAAGTTAAAGAAGCAGTGATACACAAATACACATGAACCCATATTATAGCAAGAGCAGGTAATGATTAAGAAAACCCTGAAGGACGGGGGGGAGGGGGTCCAAAAAGCATCTGGTCACATTTGAGGTGCTCAGAACTGAAAGGCTGGTTCCCCCAGCAAAGCTTGAGGGTTGAGCACCTACTCAGTGCAGAGCCAGGGATTACTGCAAAGGAAAGTGACACCAGACACAGTGAGCTGAGGGTAAAGCAGGGGGGAAGGGTCTGACCTGAGACCACATGGAAATCAAAGTGGTGAATGCAGCGAGGGCTTCAATTCAAGATAATCCTCTTTTTCACAAGACAGTAAAAGCAGCCATGAACCTTGAGCTGGAGAAAAATCAAGATGACCTGAATGAAAAGAAATAAACATACCTGAAGATTTTAAATTCGTTGGGATGAGGAGGAACAAAAAGAAATTGATTTTGAGTTGTTAATCAAAGCTGTGAGGAAACATTAATGTACAGCTTAGTGGCATCAACATTCACTCACTGCGAACACACGTTACCCACTGATCTCCTAATTTACAGCAACATGTGTCAAACACAATGACTCTGGCCACAGCTGTAACATTTGGTGAAAAATTGGCCTTTATTTTCTTTTGAGATATTTGTTTTTATGTGCAACACTGATACAAATAACATTGGTCCCTGCAGGACTGTGGACAAAAAGATGAATGACTTTTTAAATGTGCCTTAATAATAACTAAAATAAAAAAGAAAGTTACAATTGCACTGACAACATTAATATATATTTATATATACTTAATATAACATCACATTTGTGTGTAAAAGAAAAGTGCAAATGTGAAAGCTAATACAAATATGCACATACCACATGACAATGAATGAGGTTTGGGAGAAGTGGCAAAGAGATGAGGCTCACGTTTACTCATGCGTCAGGCTGAAGTAAAACAACTTCAGCAAAGGGACATGAAAACCAAAATAGAAAAATAGATCTGCTAATGCAAACTGCTGCTCTCTCCTTCTCTATCAGACATTTTCTTATGTATTAATACTTTAAACATTTACACACTTTGCCATTATGCCACAAACGGTTTCTACGAATCATTGTGTAAATACTGGTATTTTGTGGATGTGTTCAGTTACACGCGGCATCTGTTGCACTTCTGTCCTGGGAGAGGGATCCTCACATGTGGCTCTCTCTGAGGTTTCTAAGTTTTTTGGTATTTTTTCCTGACTTATGTTGAGGGTTAAGAACAGAGGATGTCGCACATTGTTACGCCCTATGAGACAAATTGTGATTTGTGAATATGGGCTATACAAATACATTTGTAAATGAGTCTATAAAACCGTGTGCAGCATGAAATCAGATTTGATTGATCAGGCAAACTTTAAACTAGTGACAAACTACTCAACCACAGACAGTGAATCATTATTAATTAGTTATTAAGTAGCAACTGTTTTTACTGTTTCAGATTCATATGATCAAGCATCACTACGCTGAAGATGCATCAGGTTTAAATAACATTCATTTATCAAATCAGTCGTTAATTGTCTTTTTCACTGTCCCAGTGTCTGATGCCTGTTTCTCTTCAGCCTCAGTACACTTCTGCCCATCACAACAGTAGTCATGTATGTTAATATTAAAAAAAGCTCACTCCTTCATGCAAAGAATCACTGAATACAAAACAAATATGGAATGTGTCGACGTGTGTAAAAAGACAGGCTGAATAACTGCTTGTACAAACCAAATAACAGACAAGCATCATTCAGCAAAAACAAGTGATGTCAATCTGTTAGCAATGGCCAGCGTCTTCCACAGAGCAGGGGAGGGAGGCACGTGGAGGGATGAATTACTGGGGGGGTGGGTGAGGTTGGGGAGGGGGAACGGTAAAGGATGATGGGGTGGAAACTCATTCACAGCAGGATGGCCACAAGGGAGCACTTTTTCTACAGGGGTCCTACGCTGGAAATGAGAGAGAAGGGCCGTTATTGCTTTCTCTAAGTTAAAACATCAACACGACACACACTGTTTCACATCGGTGACATCACATCGACATTAGTGAGCAGATGGTGTTTAGAGGAAATCGTGCTTTCAAGGCAGCTCACAAGGTTTGAGTGGACAGAGGTGAGGCTACAGGAAGCTTGAGTTATTTCTCTCAGTCAGACTAAAAAGGTTTTTGATTCTTTTTAAGAGGTTTCTTCCTGCCTCCGAGTTTTAAACAGTGAGTCTGATTGTCGTCCCCACCGCTCAGTGTCGTCAAACAGCAGCTTGTTCTCATCTGTTCTAACAGTCTGGAGCTGCTTGAGGAGTTTACAGATTGTGAGACAGATGTTCTCCTTCACTTCTACCCTCCCCAGTGGTTGAGTCTCAACAACATCTCCCTCAGTGGATTTTGCTTTTGTATCTACTCAAGAGGGAGCGGTGGCAGAGGGGGGTTGTCATATGGCTGTGAGATCAACAAAACATGTCATCTCTATAAACAGAAATGGAGCCCCGAGGCTGTTTGCTGCTCTGGTGTGACCTGTTAGTCTCAGTTCGGCCCTGAATGGCTCTTTGTGCGCGAGCAGGAACGGGCGGGGAAGGACTTGGGAGAGCCACAAAAGGAAGACTGTTGTGGACTCAGGGAGGCAGATGGGGCAGTGCATCAAATGGCTGTTTGGGGATCTAATAAAGTGGTTGATTTAAAGGCTGGCACAGGGACGGTAAACAGTGCTAGCTCAAGGATAGGATCGACACAGATATTATACAACTGAAACACTGTAGCTCTGCTGCAACATGTCTCAGATTGTACCACATTAAAAACAAATATAATGCATGTGAATTGAGATTATATTTTTAACAGCTAACAAAGAATTACAATCGAATTCAGGGTTTCAGAAAGGTACTTGTTTACACACCCAGGCTGTAACTAACAATTTGTTTCAATAGATTTATGTCCCAATTGTTTTAAGAATTAATTAATCTTGTTATCTATTCTGCCTTACCAATCAATGATACTTCATTCGTATTTTAAACGCTATTTTTTGGAGGTGTAACTCAAGAAGGGAGTCTTACCAGAAAAGGTGCCTCATGCAGCATGCAGCAAGTGTGGGAGGAGTTAACTGGAAAACATTATGGAGGCAACATAGGTGACACATGCACTCACAGGAGTCACAACAACAAGCAGTTATCAATGACTGTGTCTCCCAGGGACTGAAGAAAACACTGACTTTAACCTGAAGGCTAAAAACACATTATTAATATTCATTTCATATTTCTGCAAAACCTTTTTCGTCGGTTTTCACCAGTGACCCACAGACAAAGCAAAAGTGCAGCTGGCTCTTTTGGAAGAGAAAGTGTCCAGGCAGAGCTCATACAGAGGAGAAGTGGCTGTGAGGAAAATAAACTGACAGGAAAGAAAATAAAAGCAACAAGAACCTTCTCAGTGCAAGTGTCGTCTTCCTTTTCTAACAGGCACGGAGTCACATCAGCTTAAACACACAACCAGGAGTTTGTTACCAACATGAAGGGGCCAACAATATCAGCAGCACATTGTCAGCATACCTGAATATATTTCACTTCACAAACGCACGCACACACACGCAACCTCCTGCACAGTCATGATTTCTGTAAAACCTATTTACATTAACTTTTGGAGGAAACAGGATCAGAAACACCAACAAATGGAGAGATTATATAAATACATTAACACCAGGGTATTGGTCATTTAGAAAACAATAGAAGTGATGGGCAGGAGGAAATAAACAATTTCAAACTGCGATCTGAGAATATGAACATCATTTATCAGCTCATTTTGTAATTATTAAGAGTTGTAATAAGTTGTTTACACAAATCTGTTGGGGGTATTAATTTTAATGATTTGCTTTGCTGAAGCCATCAGCAGCATGTGATTGCAGAGTGATGATTTCACGCTGGAACTCACTCATCAAGCTCTTCTGACAGTTGGCTACGGTTCAGCTATTTGAAAGAGGACTATTTGTCATAATATCCACACTCCCCCTCTCTGCTCTAACTTTTCCTCATTGCTGATGGATTGTGTTCTGGTCAGCTCTCTTTGTGTGGAACTATGTTCTCAGCTAATATACAGAGGGAATCAATCCCAAGCGGGCTTAATGCATGAAATGATATTAATCTCAGCTGGTGTATTGAGGAGTGGTGACAGAAACAAAACGTTGGCACAGAGAAGAATTACCTTATATCTGTTTTAAATGCGCTTAAATTAAAAGCTTCAAGAGTTTGCATGTTTTGCTGACTAGAGACAAAGTATCATAAACAACACATTGAACCCAATGGCCTAGAAACAATCTTTACCCATTTACTGATGTAAAGCCAAAAATCAGACCTTGAAAGGCCACTCTCTGAACAGTGCTCAAAACAATTTGGCATAAAATCAACATCCTGAAATGTCTGTGAATTATCAATAGCCTCGTTTTAACCAGCTTCAAAGTATGTTTTTCCAACTCTAATTCAACCAGAGTGTGGTCTCCTGCGCCTGTGGTGATAGGATAAAGACAGAGCGGAGAAGAGAACAATACTTACTTTTTCCTCTCTTTGTCCCTCTTGAGTGTGGTGGAGCCCCCTGCCTGCTGAGCTTGATTCAGCAAGAGCTCTGCTGCAGTCTTTTTCTGTTTGAACGTATTGAGTTCGTCGTCCAGAGACTTCTTCTTTTCCTCCAGTTTCTTCTTCTCATCCTGGTGGAGCTTCTTCAGACGGTCAAACTTCTCATGCAGCTATGTGGCAGAGACAGAGGAAACATAACTGTTGTAATAATCAAGACACAAAACAAAGATTTCTAATCATTATTAAGTAAACAGTGTTTCAGGATAGGATGAGACCATGTGAACTAACAATACCTCTTTTTCTGCTTCTTTAAGCTCGGCCTCCTTCTCTTTGACTCTTTGCACAAACATTTGCCTCATTTCCTCTTCTTTCTTCTGCAGCTCACCCATGAACTCGTTCCTCTTAGCTTCATACGTTTCCTGCAGACTGGCAGAGGAAAGGGAATTAAAAAGAAAACATTTAAGCTTTAGTTTGTCTCTAAATTCCTAAAAGATTCATTGCACCAAAAACACATTCTTCAACAATGCATGACATTTTCTGATTTCTTTGACTTCTTCATTATGTCATTTATCACTTTTATAACGATGTGAAATAATTTGCAGATCAATATAAGCTTTGGGTTGTCTCTCTAGTAGTTTAATTTGAGGAGATAGTTAGGAAATGTGTTTACCACAAGAAATGTTAGTTAACCTCGACTTTTGATCATCAGTTTCAAAGATCATTACCTGGAGATAACCTCCCAAGTAATATTCCCCATGTTTGGTTCATTTTTACTCTGAACACGCACACACAAAATATATATATATCCTGCTGCCATACAGGATAACAAGCAGGTGTAGGTAGAAAGAGAGAAGAAAAAAGAAAAATGTGATCTACCTGAAGGGCTTGCTGTCAGGGTCTGTGTCCTTAAATCCCATCTCCTCCAGTTTGCAGCGGCGGTACAGTTCATAGTGGCGTGTGTGAGTCTGCTCTCGCAGGTCCTCCATGTTCACTCTGATCAGCATTTCTCGCAGTTTGACGAAGTCACAGTGATTCTCATTTTCCACTGTAATGGAGACATCATAGTGACACATGTACAGTTTTATCCAGCACATCAGATAGTATCCTAATCATTATGGGTTGAATATACAGCAGCAGAATCTGAACTAGCAACACTAGCATCTATGACCGTTTACATTATGCTACAACTGATAATTTGATGTTTATAATTCACAGGTCCATTCGTACCAGCAGCACCAGGAAAGCAGTAGTGTTCATGTCCTGTGGCTTCTCTATTTGTTTTGATATAAGACTGAGCTCAGCACCATGTTCCCACACACACTGTGTGACATAATGCAAGTACACATGCATGCAGAGTCAGTGTGTGTTAAACGGACCCAATGTCAGATAAAGCCCCCAAGCAGAAACATTACACAGTCCAGTATAACGCATTAGGTAGCATTGACAGTGATGTGTTTTTCAGTGTTTTGACTGTAATCCAGCACAATGAATTTCAAATGAAACAATGACTTTGAGGTTTAAGTGCTAACGTGGACCTTTAGGGGTGTCGGAGGGTGTTCGTGTTAACACTGGGTAAACACAGTAGAAACTACATAAGAAGTCAACACAGCAATTAGACACTGAAATCTGAACCAATGAAAATAAAATAGACAATTTATTATATAAAGTACATGGTATAATGTCAACCATTCTGTGGTTACCACTTTTTTGTGTTTTAAATCTTTTTAATATCTTTGAGTGCTAGACTGTTAGACTTTGTGGGCATTTATAGACCAATCAACTGAGTTATAATTCAAGAAAAGAATCTGAAGATCAATTGAATAGACTTCTAAATCTGCAGGAGCTCAGGGCTAAGACCTGCCGGATCTCTCAGTTGCAGTGAAATGGTGAGAGTGCTCCAGTTAAATGAGCTTATGTAACTGGTTATCAACTAGGCAGCTGTTGGAGCCAAGGAGAAATATGAAGGGAGGGAGCAGCTCTGATGAGAAAGAACACACTCTCATTTCCTGTGATGTGACCCAGACTTACCCTGCACCGTCCCCCACGGGTACTGCCGGGCCTTCACCATCTTGTTCCCGATCTTCACTTCCTCTGTGCTCCCCACCACTGCAAACGGCAAATGGCTCTGTAGAAAAGAAAGAAAATGGCTTTAGCACCTAACCTATAACACCTGAGAGGTCTGTGGATTCACCTCAAATTCACTCCATAAATCACTGTGTATACACAAAAAAGTGCCTGTACTTGCAGTGATAATTACTGCAACGATCTCATTCACACATGAGAAAACTAATTACACACACAGCTTAAGATGCTCATTCCTGAGCAGTGTTGACGTCACTGAGACACAACGGTTATTCTATTTACATAATCAGACCAATATATTTCATATTTAGCTCTGACTAGAAAAAGTAGAACGAGGTCAGACTGCACAACAAGAGCTGAGGGTCAACAGTCGAACAGAAACATTTTCACAAAGGACAGGTCATGAACAGCCAAGTGAGTCCTGGCTCATTTGTCAGTGGACACAGGCCCTTTCCCACACCACGGACTTCCTGGGAACTGAGCTGACTGATTGTGCTGCTCTGAGCACACCCTGCGAGGAGCGGCTTCCTGACAATGTGAGCAGACAAAGACGATGCCTGTCCAGGCGCTACATACCATATTATTTATGCTTGTGATGCATAACAGCATTTACATTGAACAGAATTTTGCAGGACTTGTGTATTTACTAAAGCAGAAAAATGTGAATTAAGTCTTAAGGATGTTTCAAATGTACAAATGTTTTTGAACCAGGTTCAGTGGAATGTTCACAGCACAGTGACATTCACCTAATATATTAAGCTAGCCAATTTATACTTTTGAGCTTATTAGTGCTAGCCCCCCCCCCCCCAGAATCTCTGTGCAAAAACGCGTGTGATGTAGATAGAAACCTTACGTTCATGGTGGAGTTGATCTCTGCCACAGACTCATCGTCAGTAGGGAACTGGTAGATCTGCACTCCATTGCTGACCAGCTCACTGGTGATTTTGAGTTTGAACTTGGCCAGCTCGCTCTTGGAGATGGCGTCTGACTTGGCGATGATTGGGATTATATTGACCTGCAGTTGAAAAATGAAGAGTGATTTAATGTGGGATGAAACAATGACAAGGTGTAGACAACAATTTCAAATATAGCTAAACATAGATCAGCTCCTGTCTGTGGCAACTTTTCCTCACTCCCATTTCAGTCATCTAAAATTAGAAAAGAGTTGATGTATTTTTAAAACAATTAAATTCTGTTCTCTTAGAAGTAGTAGCACCAATATGAAGAACACTATGGTTTAGTCACAGAAACAAATAAACCATTAATTCCTCTGTAAGCTCTTCTTTTGTGTGTAAGAGACAATTACACAATCTTAAGCACAGTTTTGCACTGTGCAAGCAACAAAGGGAACAGCAGGCTTCCATCTTCTGCTCTACATTACTTAACACTCACGAAATATGGCATTAAGAGTCAGATTCAAACTATTTCAACAGCATCTACGTTATCAATCTAATCCAAACAGAAGAAGAAATACACAGAGATAGAGAGGAGGGAAAAGGTCAGACAGAGTCATTATCATATATACACTACATCTGGCTGAAAAAACGAGACTCACTCCCACACAATTATTTTGGCAGCATAATGGCACTGACACAACCCCCAATTATTTCCCCTCCAAGTTTGGACCCCTTTAATTGACAGGAAGCAATGCTGAGGGTCATGTGAACCAAAACATGGGACTGTATCCCTCAGTCTACAGAGGATCTTGCTCAGGGACACTTCAGCAGAGTATTGTTTGAACGCCCCCCTGAGGTGAGTGAGTAAACGCAGAGGATCACACTGTTTGCGAGCTCTTGCTGGAGGGCACAGCTGCTCTGGCAAACACAGAGCTGGGTCTTTGTACAAAAGCCAGGAAGTCCATGCAAATCCGCTACTGTGGAAAGGCCCTCACAAAAAAAAACGAGGTTGCAGTCACTGGGCAGACTACATTTCACAGCTGACCTACACCGACGCAGTAACACATCTGCCAATTTACATGCAGGCTGATGCCCTGGAAAGTTTTATGACCCATGAACAGAGTGGAGAGATAAAATGCTTCAAACAGGAATGCAGTGCCAAAGGATTTACCTACAGTACATGCATGACATGCTACAACAAATCAGTCCATGTTTGTGGGAATTGTAATAATTTTAAAACATAATTTTGTTAAGTAGTAACTGTCATTCAAAACATATCTATTTATAAATTCTGCACAACTGAAAGTGCATCATCCTTAAATAAATTATCCTTTGGCAGCTTCCACGTCAATTACATACAGCTTTTGCTGCCAACTTTGAGATATAAAAATCACTGATGAGATTAATTTGATGAAGAAAAGTGAATCTCACCTTGCTATCGAGTTTCTTCATGGTCACCAAGTCGAGAGATTTGAGCGAGTGTCCCGTGGGAGCGATGAAGTACAGGCATGCGTGGATGCGGGTGTCGTGGTAGCTGTGTAACGTGCGCTTGATTTTCAGTTCCTCCTGTAGATATGCTTCAAACTGTGCATCAATAAACTCCACAATGGACTTGTAGCTGTCAGAAAAGGGAAGACAAAACATGGAAGAACTCTAAGCAATATTTAAGCATATTATCAGAACAAGTCTGGTTCTGCTTCTAGTTTTATTAAGTAATTTGCATTAGAGCAAAGCATCACAGTTACACTTAAGCACAAACAACATAAAGGGACACACTGTGCACTGTAAAAGGTTCATCTTTGTCAATTTTGTTTGATCAAATCTAAATGTGGAGCAAACAGTCAGTACTCAGTCAGCTCATTCTTTGAGGACATGCAGCTCTATCTGTTAATCCATTGTGCATCTTTTAAAATTTTAAAGTCCTACATTTGCGAAATATCCTGAAACCACTTTGGTTTTAGTGGTAGTTATTTGTGATCATCCATGATTAGAAAAATTATGGGTTAAATTAAATAAGTCAAGGTAGATATCTGTCAGGCATGAATTATTTGCTTGTGATAGCAGAGCGGATGGAGACATTTTTAAAGTACACTCCCATTAAAGCCATTGAGGTCATTTTCCAATGCCTGCATGTTACGGATGATAGACCATTTTTAATTTGTACTTGTTGTTATTCTTAAATTTGCATAACCAAATTAGTAATCTTACAAAAAAGACATACGACCCCATGAAGGACAAGAAGCTCATAAATGTATCCACCCATCCATCCCACACAGGGACACAGAGAAACACTGCAGGATGTTCTGTATACACAGCTCACATGACTATGAGTATATGCTTGTGTACAAGTTGAAGTTATTTCCTATGTATAGGGAATTTCATACCGAATGGAGTGAGAAACCTGGAAACAACTGCAGCTTTACCATTATAGAGAAGTTACTGAGGTGGTTCACATGATATCATTCTCTCCCTAAGCTTACCCGAGGAGCAGAGCTAGAAATTACATTGAGGAGAACAAACTTGGCTTTATGTCAGGACCACTGTGTCCACATTTACCTGTGGATTTCTGACAACAACCTGTGACACTGCTCACAAAGACTAAATATGAAACCAGTTTGCTGAGATTAGACACTTCAATCCATTGAAGCTTGGAAAATGTGTCTCGATTTTACCTTTCTTCTTTATTGATCTGGTCTCCAAAGCCAACGGTGTTGACAACAGTGAGTTTGAGGCGCACGTTGCTCTCCTGGAGTTCGTAGGTGTTGGACTTGAGCGTGACTCCCGGCTGGTTGTGCTGAGTGGGCTCCCCCTCAAACTTGGTGTTGAACAACGTGTCCATCAGGGTGGACTTGCCCAGACCTGTCTCACCTATAAAGACAGAAAACCCATCATGTTACAGGAATCCAACACATCCTGATCTCATCCTCTGGTCATCAGTTGCTTTTTATATTACAAGACGTGAAATCTATGGTTTCCTTCAGACTTAGCTGCTGCTTTTACTTCCACATACATGGAAATGTTTATGATTTTAGCTTGTATACTTCTGAACCAGCCATAATGTGATGATTTAATTAGCCACCAGTGACACTCAAAACAGAAACATGCAGCGTGTGGGAATAGATTCAGTGCAACATTTTGAAGATGCTTCAAAAATACTGTATCATTGTGTAAATCCACAAAAATGATCTGCTGATATATTCTGATATCAATTTCCCTGTCAGATGACTCAGATACAGAGCTCCCTCTGTAAGAACAGCTATTTTTATTCATCACAGCCTGACCTACACTCACAGCATGTTAGCCTGTTTTTGTAGGATATCTTGCTGTGTTCCCAATTTCCTATCCTTCCCTCAGAATTAAAAGTAAATGATGCAGCAAGGGTCTTATTTGCTGTTTCTACGCTCAGTTTAAGTCACTGTGGAGAAGTCACTCATGCTTAAAAGGGAACTCAGTATCTTATTTGGAGTAGCTTAAGGCTCACATTGTAAATGACAACACAAGTTATACTCTTAGGTAACATTTCCATCCAAATCTTCTGAAATGACAACGAGCAAAAAGTCTGAAAATGTCAGGCTTTGGCCCAGTGGAACAACAAATGGTGACATTTAATTCACTCTCTAATTTAAGACCACAACCAAATTATAAAAACCAAGTAATGTGCGTATGGCAGTGAGAAATATGCTTATGAGTCATACAAGCACAACAACAAACAATTGTTTGTTTAAAACATAAGCTGCTGTTAGTCTCCTACGTCATCTATGCTTCCATTTTTTCCAATATAGAGTACCAATCACAGTCTATGGTACCAATGGTTGTCTTGAATTTAGAGAAACTCATATTGTAAGGCACCATAATGTGGTGACTGTGTGATAAAAAACATGTTTTTTTCTTTCCACTTTTCACTCCTATACAAAAATAAATGGACTCAGTCTTTCCACAAAACAGCAGAGAGGTTTTTTACTTGGAGAAGATTCAAAACCATGCCACTAAAAATGGCCACCAGGCATTTCCGACCAAAATCTCAGAATGGAGACACTGATTGTGTTAATGTTACTAGACCTCTACTGCGTCACAAAAATCAATTGGATATTTGATGAGGATTTTAGTATTGTACTTGGAAGAGTCCACAACTACGACAAAACAAGAAGGTACAGTCTTAGAAACAACCATCTAACTTTCTAACCACAGGTTAGTACAGTACACAATGCAAACTGTCCTCTGCAAAACACAGAATTTTAGCTTAATCACAGACATTGAATATTAAAATTTGCATATGTATATTTCTGAGGAAACCATCGGCAGATAAAAAACCTATACAACCATTTCCTGCAAAAAAAAAAACTGAGACTGAGCTTCCTGTTGTGTTCCGTCTACTGTCAAACTTGACAAGTGTTTGTACTGGAACCATTGTCATTTTATAGAATTACATTATTTCTGAGCTTTTCATTCAGAACTTTGTTTTTTTACTTTGTCATTCATGTATAACAAGTACACAATACTTTACTGCTATAACTGCCTCTGTGTTAATACAATGATAAAGACAACAACACGTAAACAGAAGTGTGTGGGCAGAGCTGCAGGACTGAAGAGGAGCGAGAGAGAGACAGGCGTGATGGAGGTGACCAGAGTGGGCTACACAGTGCCGCTACAATGAGTGGATCATTACAACACAGTCTGATGTTTTATTTCTTTTCACATCGAGCCACCGGCCCAAATTGTATAGCAGCCCATCGAGAAAATCCCCGGTTCACCAAGTGACTACACTGTCATCAAAATGGACAAAAGATAAAAAATGGGTCTGATTTAACACAATGTAATCGAATAGAACTAGAAAATATGGCCTCCAAAAGTTTCATAAATACTACATCAACAGCTTTTAACTAAACTGAAGATTACATCCTCCAGAAAGCTTTTCTTTATTGGACCTATAGGATTGTTTCATTGGACTGCATTTCCAGTTTATTGGGTGAACCATGTCAACTTGCAAGTGATTTGTTTTATCAATATATAAAACCAAATAGACAAGCAAACATTTATCACTGTCCATAAATGTTTTTATTCTGCATGAATGATACTTAAATGAATAGATAATGTTGCTACCAGTACTGCTGTTGACTAATATCCTACTAAAATTAGATAAAAGCCTGCAGACATTCCTGTTAGTCATTTCCCATCTGAACCCAGAGCATCTTACTCATCATGCTAACTTGCCCTGAGGAGACTGAGCAGCTCTAATGCAGAGGAAACTGCCATGTATTTTGTGGGAGAGCCCGACTTTTATCGAAGCAAATAAGTCATCATTTAGCCTCGGGGGAGAGAGTGAGAGCATTTCACGCATGATACACTCACCAACACAGAGGATGTTGAAGCAGAATCCGTGGTTGACAGACTTGTTGACCAGCTGGTCAGGCATGCTGTCAAAGCCGACATGGCCTGCCAGAGGGACAGCACGAGCACCTTCACCCTGAAAACCAAAGAGAAACAACATGTAACATCTGGTACCAATTTCTGAACACCTTCTGGATTAAAATGTCCTGTTAAGAAAACATGCACAGCTTTAAACATGCAAAGGATTCCCTCGAATTCTTGATGATTCTTGTTCTTCATGTTACCAAACAACCAGACACAATCTCCACCACATCATTGTTAGACTGACTTCAGGTGCACTCTTACTCACTTCCTGTTTCCTGAGCTGCAGCTCAGTCGAGACAGTTAGAAACCATGTACATATATGGAAAGGTGTTGCTGTTCATGCTTGGATAATTGTTAAAACAAAGAGCTTGGAGAATAAATATAAGAGTTTTATCATTAAGTATGACAAAGAAAAAAGACTAAATTAGATTAACTTGCACAATACCCTGCGCCCCCGTTTCTGTGTTGCCACTTTGATTTGAAGCCGTCACTACCTACTTTTGGCACATTGCACAATAATTCACTCTACTATTGCAATGTTTGTACACAGCCCATCTATGGACTGGAGTGACACTTAACACCAGAGTGTAAAAGCACTGTTGTTGCATGTGTGTGTGGGCGTGAGGCTGGCAGCGAGCGTCTCTATATCTGTGGATCCGATTTCTGCAGCCTACGTCTACATTGTGAGGTGCAGGAAAGCAAAGAATTTAGATTATATGGCAAAAGCAAGAGCCCTCAAACAGCCAACCGACCATTATGTGGCTTAACATAACACTGCGTTGCTTTGCTCTGCGGTGAAGAACTGAGAGGGAGGAAGAAGAAAAACTGTTTGGGAGTCAGACAAGCGGATAGTGATAAACAGTTGTGGATTATTTGGATAGTTGAAATTGGGGTTTAAACAGCTGAGGGTTGTGTTTGGTAAACTGGGGGTGTGATGCGACTGGACAAACAAGTGTTTTAGTTTTCAGTTGCAAGCGAAACATTCCTGAAACCAGTCCTGCTTTTCGAGACACTAACAGCCAAGTTACACACTGTGGGTTTTGGATTCATTGAACCGCAATGGGGACATCACATTGCAAAAACCTGGCTATTCTGAGCTCTCTCTCTCTGTCTGTCTCTCTCTCTGGGTGTGATGACCTCCTTTCTTAAATTCAAACCCAACACAAAGCAGGCACATCAACACGATCGATGCAAGGATCTATTGATATTATTTACATTTACATTGTGGACACATCAGACAACGCCCGACTTTAAGTTAACGGGACTTACGTGCAGCAACATAACGGAAATGATAGCTGTGCAGAAACGGGGGCGTTCAGAATGAATGGGCCTAGCGACGGCTCTAGCTTATCGTTTTTAAACAAGAGCATCTATCTCGTCTGCTAAACCGTGCGTTCGGATTTATCACACAGAACACACCGTTTAGTTTGGAAAGGTTCATTCGAGCTAACGGTGCCAACACAGGAAATGTGCGTGCGTTAGCATACGATGCCATGAAAACGAGTGTAACATGTTAACATTAAAAGCTACGAGTGGCTAGCATCGGGGTTTATTTTCACAGCTGTTTAAGGAGATTATAAGATGTATTATAAGATGTATTCTTGGTAATATCCAGAGAGTGAAGCGGGTTTAGCTTAGCTGCGTTACACTGGGTTTCAGGAGGAAGAACGACAGGATAGAGCCGGTGGCGACTGACAAAAATCGGCCGAAACGCGACATTTTAATCTTATATTGGAACAAACGCTGAACTGAGGTTGAATATTTCAGAACACACGTTGTGGCAGTGACAAAGACATCCTGGTAGAATAAGCTACTCACCGCTTGTCTTGCTATCTCGGTGGACGCCATGGCGGTTAGCCGTTAGCTGAAGCCTCTGCTGCTCTGTAGTGAAGGAGCCCACTGGGAATGTACCACTCACCGACGCAGCTAGTTTACGCGCTATTTGATAAGATATTCCTTTGACATCGCTCGCACAGGAATGTTGTTAAGTTAAACAACATTTTGATTTGAACACCATATCACATTCTCTCCGGTTCGTGTTGATGTAAATGATCGTGATTACACGAGCGCTCGCCCCTGAACCCCCCCTCACACGGGAGGCCATCATGGTCTCGTCCTGTGAGAGAGGCAGTGAACCACAGTCAATGAGCTGATGATTGTTCAGCAGCGAGAAGCAGAACTGACACAGTTGTTGTTGTTTAGTGTCAGATTGGGTTTTTTTCTACATTCAATCATAGATTTAACATCAATCAAATAATATCTGCATTAATTTTCAGCGAAGTCTGTTGTATTCAGTTTTTACACTATTCTGGACCATGTGCTTTATTCATCTGTCTGTGCAATATCAATGGTTCATGTTCAATGTTCATGTTCTCAAATGCTCATGTTTGTCCTGTTTTCAAACTGTGTGCATATGTTTAATTCAATTTATGTGTTTCTATATTTTTCGTGTTTATCTAGGATAAGACAGATTATATTCACATCAACGTGATAAAATGAGTGACACAGCACTGAAGCAAAACAGATACAGGGACACTGCAGCATTGACAAGTATTACACTCAGTGTTAATAATACATTTAGTTATGTCCCAAGCATAAATAACAATATAAAACTTGAACCAATATATCCTTATAAAATCAAGATGGCAATGAAATAATCAAAGCAGGAGCTACTGAGACATCAAGGCCTCTGTGACAGCTTCTTCCTCCAAGCATCTAGACAAACACCCCTGACCCTCTGAAGGCCTGTATGATTTTATAAGACCCTTCAAGCTGAACCCCATGTCTTCCTCCACTCTAATTGTCAAATACACTAATTTGAATATTCTTTTTAGTGTTCCTCTTACTCAAATTGAAATGCAATATGTCAGTTGTTCTCAAAGGATTAAATACATTCAAAAAATGAACTATTTTTTACAAAAACTAATCATTTGTTTCATGTACTTTCAAGGAACGGTGTTATTTTTGTGTTACTTATCATCTTGGAAGACAAAGGATATAAAGTGGTCCTAAATATTTAATTATACTCTTTAAAATACGATTTAGGAATACTCATCCACTTTTTAAAAAACTTTTATAAAGAAATTTAATTCATCCCCAAACTCAAAAATGACTGTGGACTGTCTGTTAGCCTTTAAACAACAATACACTGCATTATCAAATTATAGATTTCAATTTGATTCAAATGTATATTTGACTTGTTCTATAGTTTAAGAAAACCACATTGTACAATTCCATTGTGGTTGTAAATTGTTTGTGTAGTTAGTGAAGTGGATATATCTTTAATGGTCCATAAACAGCAGATAACATGTACAAACTGTTTTATTTACCTCATACAGGCGGTTGGTAGTGGTTTAGTTTAGGAAACGCCCACTAGAGTCACGTGTGTTACAGCGACCAATAGCACGGAGGCGGTGAATTTAAAACCGAGCCGCGGTTTCCTGGTTCACGGCTTCACATGAAAACAAACCTCTGGTGCGTCAACAAGGAACAAACAGCGACTCACAGCACAGAGAAGGTAAAGTTTACTGATGGTCCTCCAATGCACTGCTGCCTTCAACTGCTCTTTAGCTCATTTCACTTAGTTTGACTGCGAAGACGCGACGTGGCTACAGTAAATTAGCTACTAGCTACAGTAAACTAGCTAACTGATACTGTGCTTGAATTAAACTGACTGTAAGCTAATCGACTGTAGCTTTAATCTGGTACTTACAACTGACTATATCATCATACCTGTCTTTACTTTAACCTTAACACTGGAGTCAACAGAGCAGACAAGTGAAAGAAAACTGTAACAGGGTGAATACGCGGAGACAGACTTGTAGTTCACCAGGTTAGAAGCTAATCACTGTTAGCCACCTACAGTGTGAGTCTACTGCCTGGTGAGGGATTTGCTGTTTTTCTAACCCAATCATCAACTGAACAGTTTGTGTCTGGGACCGTTTCTTGAATAATCCAACTCATTTGAATACATCGTCTTGAGTTTGTGGGAAGTTCAGGCACAGTTAAAATACAATAAGTGTTTTTTGGTTAAATAAAGCCAAATCCAAACTTACTGCGGTTGAATTTGGTGCTTAAGCTCTGTCTCACTGTATTGATCAGTGGCTGGAGTTTAGTTGTGATAATGTATTGCTTTATTTTCAGAATAAACTAGCTCAGCAACTGAGGATTGTTTTAATCATTCATTTATCTTGATGTCATTGTCCCCAACATACAAACACCTGAACATGCCCATTCATTTCCCAGTTTGTTAATTGATGTAGTTGACTTGGCTTTCAATGTTACAAATGATCCAGCTGCACTGAAATGTCCCATGAGCCTGCATGCACAACACTGGCACCCTCCAGCTGACCAAGCTACACTCACCTCAGTGTCACACCTGAGCCTTTTCCTGCTACATGTTTCTTCAATAGTGATGGTGTTTGACAATGTTTTGTAGTAATTAATGTCAGCTTGTGTTTTCAGATACAATGGACAACATAATCTTTGCAGAGCGGGAGAACGCAGGTGTCCATGCGCCCTCACTGAAGATGCGACAGCGACTTCAGTCTGCTCCAGGTATGAAAATGCCATGTTTGTTTGTTTTAGTGACAACTGCCCCAAAACACTTGTGGCATCAGAGGCAGCTGCCTCCAAACCGTGTGTGGTCAGTCCAGTGAGTATGGTGAGTTTGACGGCTCTGTGGCTGGATGATGATTTCAATATGAAATGGACATTGATGCATGCACTTGCATACAGCAGCCTTTCAGTTCCTACAGAGCCTTAATTTTATGTCGTGCATCCCTATTTTTATCTGTGTAGAAAATACTATAACCTGTTCCTGCAGAAAAACTCCTGAAATCTTCCATGATTACCAAAACCTTCAACACTCCTCTGCCATCTGGTCGAAAAGCTCTCGGTGCCGTCAACAAGAAAATATCAACCCCTGCTGTCAACCCCCAAGAGAAGAAACAGCTGAAGCCTCAGGTTGGAATAGCTCATAGTGGAGTCATAGTCTAACTAATGTAAGACTGTAATTGCATTTATACCTCAAGTAATACATGTAAAATTTGTTCTCCTTTAGGAAACAAAAGTCAAACAAGCTCCCGATACCAAATTGGAGGAATATCCAGAAATTGAGAAGTTCTTCTCTTATGACCCACTAGGTAACTGACACATTCAGTAGGAAGTTCTCACAGTTATGTTTTCCTTTAATACTACCAAAGGTCACATTTTACAGTAATACAAGTTTTTAGACTGGCACAAATGATAAATGACTTTGTTTTCCAAGTTATTCTCTCTGGGCATGGATGCACATTGATACTCATCTATGTGTGCACATACCAAAAAGGTAATGATTAAATGTTTAAGCCTCACTTTTTTTCTCCCCTCTCAGAGTTTGAGAAGTTCGGCATACCTGAAGATTTTGTTCCCTTCAGCAGCCTCGCTCTGCCTGGACTAGCATGTTTCCCACAATCTCAGCATGTGTGGAAGGAGGACCAGGAAAAGTTTGACCCTCTCCCAAACCTGTCACCTGTGAAGATGTCAAAACATTCAGGTATCAAGGTCCTACTAAGGCTTAATTTGCATTGATAAAAATCTTCTATCAGTGACTTTTAGATCGGAATACTTATTTTAATAGGTTTCTGGAACTGTTAAATGGGAAATAGTTTATCGATAAAATACTGGTCTATTTATTGTTAATCCACCAAATTAAATACTTGTATAAAATGAACTTTGGACTCTAAGCAGTACTTACTTTCTATACTTGTCAAGTTTAATTATAAACCACATTGAAAACCAGAGTTGAACTAAATGATGTGGAAATAAAATAACATGATAAGAGACAAAGAACAACTTAAGAGGTGACTTAATGCCATAGGGTTGTACAAACAAGGAACTGTCTGAAAATAAACATGAGGCTAAAAGGTAAACAAGATCTTATGGATAATCAATGATCAAATACCAGCTTTTAAAGGCATAGTACAATCTGGTGATTTCAAAATATGCCAGGGTGCAAACCTTTGTAAAATTGATTTTTAAGTTGGTTCACCCATATTACAAAAAATTTTGTCATTTACCTCTAGCAGTTTTTTTTTTTTTTTTGATAATCTAGAAGTCTGATATAAAGTTTTCTCTACTTGATATAATTTTGAAAAGGGGCTATAATGCTCATTTCCAGCGCTTTGTTTTTGTTCTGGGACTCAATTAGAGTCTCTTTTGAATGCTTATTTATCTCAAACTACCTGTTAAGCAGCTTATCATTCAAGCCTCTGGCTAAAAATGGCAATATTGGCTTTAGCCGACTGTTTATTAGCCATTGGGGGAGAAAAAAAAAAAACTCACACAATGTTTTGATGTTTAGTAACTGTAATTGCAGCTGTTGAGACACAGGTTGTAAACTACAATTATCATTAACTACATGTATCATTAACTCGACTCTATCTCTTCTTCTCCAGATGACTGCTCCGCTCTCGACGCCTTTCTTCAAACACTCGATGAGCTGACCGTTGAACTTCCTCCAGAGTCTGTTACTGACTAAACGTTCATGAATGTACTTTGTTGTGACTGTTCTTTTATCTGAAATAAAGTGGTTTTATCTGTCGCCTGCTTAGTGATGTATTTGAATTGGTTACTGGCAGTGAAAGTAGCAGGGAAATGTTCAGTGCTTTACTTCCTGCTTTTTGGAGTACATCACTGGTCACATGTGAAGGATTCTTGCTATTGGTTTTTGCTGGAGATTAGAATGAACTTTGGCTCAGTTCCTCTTGTGAAGGAAAAGAAACGGGTTGAGTCTGTGCCTCGTTGTTTGCTGGATGAATCCTTTCACATTTCCTGTCTGTATTAATGTGCTCGTGTCGGGGTGACGATTGGAGTGTTTGTGCTTCTTTTCCAACTTGGACTCAGAACAGGTGAGTAACAGTGGCGTGGCTGCATTTGTGAAACATGAGACTGGGTAAAACAAAGACCTCAGTGTTATTTTAAAACTCTATGGGATTAGTTGATATACTGAACTTATACCAACATACCTACAAAATGAGGAACTGGCTCACATTTCTTTTTACCGCATTAGTGAAATATTTCAGACGTTAATGTTGTAAATAAACTCCCCCTCTCATTGCGCAGGGTAATGGCTCCAGAGGGGAGCAGTGTCTGTTTCCAGTTTATAATTTGACACTCATATCTCTGGGTGTTGTCTGGATAAAGAGAAGTAGCCTTGAACCCATCGCGCAGAGACACGAGCAGCATGAACGGGAGCAGATCGGATGATGCTGGATGTGACTCAACTGGATCAGAAGCAGCTGTCGGCAGCAATACCGACGCCCACGGCGGCAGCTCGGCCACACAGGGCACCGTTGTGGAGCGACTGTCGCGGTATGGCCGGCAAGTCCTGCCCGGTTCTTTCCAGCGTAGGTCGCGGCAGCAGAGGCAGCAAGAAGCCGCCGCCACCGATGGCTGCGCACCGGGGGGTCCTCTGCAGAGAGAGGCTCCGGAGAGGGGCTCGCTCACACCCGCCATGCGTAAGAAGTACCTGAAACAGTTGTTGTTCAGTAACGCGTCAAACAGCGGGTTCAGCAGCGCACTGTCCTCCCAGACCGACAGCGTGTCCTCCGAGCAGGAGGACGCAGACTGGGCTCTGTGTCCCATGGAGCACGCGTGGATGCTGTCTGCGGTGGAAGGGAACTACGACACCATCCTGGAGTTCATGTCCGAGGAGCCGAACCTGCTGACCAGGAGGGACTTCATCAGCGGGTACTCGGTGCTGCACTGGCTGGCCAAGAGAGGACAGGACGAGACCCTGCTCAAACTTCTGCGCTACGCCGAAACTGCGGGGGTCCGCGTGAACGTGAACTTGCGGGGCAGCGGCGGGCTCACCCCGCTGCACGTCGCCAGTATGCACTCTCAGTACATGGTCGTCAAACTGCTGGTGGGGGCTTTCGGTGCCAACGTGGATGCCATGGATTATAACGGGAGGAGAGCCTGGCAGTATCTGAGGGGAGACGCCCCGCTCGAGATGAAGGAGCTGCTGGGGACCTGGGACGAGGAGCACAGCTGCGGAGGTGTCAAATGGAACGTCAACAACAACAGTGCGGGCGCAGTGACCCCGGATACAGAGGAGGAGGAGGAGGAGGAGGAGGGACAGACTGACGTGCACTTCTTTGACCGGACTAAGAGAAGCGGCAGCTGGAGATTTGGCTCCTTCAAGAAAATGCTGGCCTCGTTTTCATTTTCAGGAAACAAAAGGTGAAGTTCGGTCACAAACCTCCAAATATCTGCATTTCACATTTCAGCCACTTGTGTGGTTTTCAACCTGGATCAGAAACACTGCAACATCTAGTAGTCAAGTCAATTTTTCCTTCATTTAAAATGGAACCTTTGTTTTTTTATAACCATTTGCATCTCAAACCAGTATCCCCACTCCACATGCAGGTATTTCTTTTATTACTTTAGGGTGGAGTTGATTTATAGAAGGGATATGTTTGTTGTTATATACCTTCTGAATTGAAACAGAAAATCTGAAATCCACAAGCCTGTAATTGGGGTCACCCAGGTATTTAAAATATGGAAATAGCTGGTTAACTTCCACTATGAGTACTGCTTTCCATTCAAACATCTTAATTGTGCATTAACTTCACTGAACCTTTTTTCAATAAAACAATGTATGTGCTGTTCTTTAAACTTCTCACTGAGGCTGCTCTTGTTCCATCTCAACAGCTCTCGTTGCCTACGTGGCCACATTTTTCTCCAGTTTGAGTAAACACTTCATAGTTTGTCTTGCCTCTTGAATAGCGGTACTTTCTGCAGAGCTGTGTCAGCAGTACCTCGGGCAATGTGTGGTTTGCCTCAGAAAAACATTCAGCCATAAACAGTTGAGCTGCACATTGTTGGTAAAAAAGGCAAAAAAACAGCAACATTTTCAGTTTGATCACAGATCTTTTATTATCAAACATGACGAGATAACATGGCTCCCTCCCTGCGGTCAGGCACAGCAGCTGGAGGTCCTGGCAGACGTTGGGGGGGAGGGGGGGAACACTGGGATCCAGGGACCCTCGTGTTTACAGGCCAAGCTTGGTCCTCCTCCAGTGTCTCCTCTTGGAGTTGTACCTGAAATTAAACAATGTAAACAAAGTGTCAGGAGAGCAACTGTCAAAGGAGAAACAACCAGAGTAACAAAGGGCTTCAAATTCATACACCAATATTGTCACTGTATACAACACTTGAGTTTTTCCCCCAAATCTGCATCTAACTACAGATGTCTTAACAGAACACAAACAGCACCAACAAACATTTGAATCAGTAAAATCAAAATGCAGGTTCACGGCTTCAGTTGAAACTATGCAAATGCTGTTGATGCTGCTCTAGTTTCAGAGGCTATTAAGAGAAAGATTAAGTAATTCATTAGTTCCACAATGGGGACATTTGCATTGTTACAGCAGGAAGAGTCAAAAGACAACAGCAAGTAACAAGCAATAATTAAGTGTGAGTATAAATATATAGAAATAGAGAAACATGAATGTAATTAAACTAGTATATACAGTGTAAAGACAGGGAGAATGCCCTAACCAGAACAGACACACAATCATTCAATCACTGAAGTCAGACTTGTGGTGATCTTTAGTGAATGAAAATGAGTCAACAGCACAATGTTCAGCTCCAGAGCTTCCTCAGCACACACAGTGGTGAGGAGTGAGCGCTCTGCAGCAGGATACTCTCAGCAGGATTAATGACAGCACTCTACAGAAATCAAGTGCTGCAATTGCAGACCTGCTTTACATGACACAAGTTCTTCTTTCCTACATTAGACACTCATTCATATCAGCACTTAGTGATAATGTAAGCAGCTCAGCCATGAAATGCAGCACTGTGGGGGATATTGAATACATTCAAACTGACAAGCTTGTACAAAATGTAACCTCCACATCCCCTACAACTTTCAGGAAAGTTTACTGCTGCAACTATTTGTGAAATCAATGTTGTACCAATATATACATGTTTTCAATATATCAGTGCCAGTTTCTAAGATCTGCATTGTTGGCCAATATTACAGTCAGCTGTGCAATAAATCCCACAGTGATGAAGGTTCAAATGTAAATGTTTAACTTATTATTTTGGAAGTCTGTGGTGCTGCTGGATAACACATTACACCACTAATATTTTGGTACGTTTATACAATAGTGAAGGCTACACATTATAAATACCTCAATACTGGACAGCTCAAAAAACTATCATAAACACATAACCTATAAAAGGTCCAGTGTGTAAGATTAAGGTAAGAGGGAACTACTGGCAGAAATGTATTGTATAATAATTCTCAGTGGTTGGGTCATCTAAATCTAATGAATTATAGTTTTCTTTACCCCAGAAAAGACCCTTTATATTCAAATAATTCATATTTACATAGAGGGGACCCTCTCTATGGAGGCCACCATGTTTTTTTACATTAGTCGAGACTGGACAAACCAAACACCTTTTAAGTTTTTATGACAATTAAAGGCTACCACAGGTTCTTTATTCATGTTTGGAAGGAGAGGGTGAGGTGAGTTCAGCTGCAACATGCAATTTCAACACTAGATATCACAAAATTCTGCACACTGTCACTCTTTGTGTTGCAGAGTTGTTTTATCAGACTGCTTTGGTTTAAATGAAAAGTGTTAATTTGTGATAATGCACAAATGAACTTGTTGAAGTTCCCCAAATCAAAAGTTAGATCTTCCTACTGTACTTTGCAGTCTTGTCTCCTTACATAATGCACAATCCCTCCCCTGGTGCTTATTGTATTTATATAGTTAATTGTATTTCCTGTTTATATACTCACACAAATACTCCAAAGCTATTTCCTGTGATGTGTAAACCTGCTTGGCAATAAAACCTGATTCTGATGGTACACTGACAATTGTTTCCTGCCTGAAGTCAGTGTCAATGAGTTATAATCTCTGGCCAAGGAAATTCTCAGTATGGGATCTATAAAACCTCTCAAAAGTAACTATTATTATTAATATTTCAAAATGTTCAGTCATACAAATAAAGCACCAGTCGAAAATGATTCTGCACACGGGCTCATGTTGAGTGAGAGAGCTGGAGAGAAGTGTGATGACGGTAGAAGTGAGCTGCTGTGGTCATGTGTCCTAGTTCAGGGTTTAGAGTCGAGCAGAACATCTGTTTTCAGTTGCACAGCAGCTTCGTGTTGATCTGGAGCTCAGAACAATCCCTGAAACTCACCTGATCTTGTTGCCGGTCTTCATTCTGATCCACTGAGGAATCGGCCTGTTCTGCTTCTGCTTCTTGGCGAGGAAGCGCTTGATCCTGAACGTCTTGTGGGACGACTGAGAACAAACAAACAGCTTCATTAACAAAACACACAAACTAAACTTCTATTAAAAGCTCCGTCTGTTTAAAAACTGACACGTTTAGATCGCACGCAGCAAAACTGTGCCGAGCATGCGTAGCCCTGCAGGACGCTACCGGCTAGCATCGCGAATAGCTAGCATCGCTAAGAGCCTAAATGTGCTCGTACAGGATGTTAACAGACAAACATACAGATTTAAAATCAACCACTGAGACATTTGTTCAACATTAAAAGTATCGATGCGGGTTTATAACAGCTACAGATGAAGATGTTTAAAGATTCCGTGTTTACCATTTTGTCCACAGTCCTTTCCCCACTATGGCGGAGGTTGAAGAGAAAGAAGGAAGTGACGTTCACGTTTTTATCCAATAGGCGTCCGGCGAACAAGCTGAGCAGATCGCTGACAGCGACACCTGTTGGACGTTTCATTGCATCACATACATGCTTAGCTGGGATCCTTCGTTTGTTCTCAACAAATACACATTTTCCTTATTTTACATGGTGATGATGATGATTTTCTTTATTCTTTCAGTAGTAGTGGTATATATTTTTTGTTTTTAGAAATGAGTTTGTTAGTTGACTAATTGCTCCATAGTCGATATGATATTTTTAGGAATTTATTTTTTATGTTGAATCTTGATTTGAGAAGTAACCAGTGCCTCAAAATGAAGAATAAATGTTGTGCAGCAAAAAGTACATTTCCTTCCAAAGTGTAGTGAAATAGAGATTACAAAAAAAGAAGCATGAAAAGAAAATACTCAAGTCAAGGTAACTTTCCACAGCACCCTCTAACTTCACCATAGTTAGGTGATGGAGATGTGTCAGTTCAATTATGTAAGGCTTTAGAAACCTGAAAGGGAAATTTATATTTAATACTGTAGTTAATCAAACCTTAATCATTTACTCAGTGAGAGGTGTGAACACTGAACTGCTGCAATGCTTTTAAATAACTTGAAACTATAAACTTGTGATCACTGGACTTCTATTTTAAAACTGAGCATCTTTCCACCAAAGAGACAAAAAGAGACAGATTTAACAAAGGCCTTTTATTTCCAGTCAGAAGTAGCTCCTGTATGTTAGCATGATACTAGCATCACCAGCACTGATATGTTTCCATGCTGTCTTCAGTTGAGTGCATCACAGATTAATGTATGGAGGCAGATTCAGATTTGAAAAAGGGGGAAGGCCATAGGTTGGTCACTCAGACTGAAGTCTGCATGCAGTCATATAGGTGTTACACAGCAGTCAGGTCAGAAATGGCTATTTCTCCTCAGTAACTGTATGAATGTGTGAACGTAGGTTTCTTTATTGTGCCTGTTAGACAAGAGTTAAAGACCAAGGAACGTTTTAGTAAAAGAGCCGCACGTACATGTGCATTGTCAAACTCTGCAGGCAGAGGAAGATAATGTCCATGTGTGCACTTCAAACAGAAAATACAAACTCTACAACAGAAATCTCTTTCAAGACACTGCAGAAACAATATTAACGAGTTTGGCAAAGTTGCCAGAGCGATTGGTTGGGATATGTATAAACAAATGAAAAGCCAATGTTTGCAAAGTCCATCAGAGAAACAATACTGAGATAAGGTCACTTTGAGTTCACAGTAAACTTTGGCTTCACCTAACTTGCCCTGCAGCCAAACTCTTCAAGGCTTACTGTTCCTAACAAATTAAACTAACAGAGGGCCACATTCAGGCACTAAGAGACTCCAGCATCTGCCTCTGAGACTGAGAGAGCCAGATGTAGCCCTGCATCATCTGCAGCGCAGGCGACGCCCTGAGGCATCACATCACTGCTCCGAGCCTCACAGATCCGTCTCTCCGCTCGTAACCAAACTTAAAATGCCACAGGAAGAAATCTGCTCAGTCGTCTCCCTTGTCTGCCACTTTCTTGGTCTCGGTATCTGGCTTCCTGTCAGCGGAATTGGATTCTCCTCCTCCTGCAGGTCGATTGCGGCTTCTGGCCCCCGGCTGGTACAGCTGAATAGCAGGGCGGTCCTGACGCACAAAAACAAACAACTCAATTAGAAACTGCAAATAAATAAAAATTATAAGAAATTACAACTAAGACTAGAGTAGTTACTTTATTTCGCGTTCGCTCTCTTTTGCCAGCATCGTCCCGCTTGTCTTTGGCGAGCTTCTCCGGCCTCTCGTTGTGAGCGGAGTCTCCAATGTTTTCGCCCTTTTTCTTCTCAAAGGCACGCTCCCTCTCTTTTTTCCCCTCGTCATCCCGCTTCCTGCACGAGTTCTCTCCATCCTGTCGTTCCCTCCTCCTCCGCCGATCTTCGTCCTGCCTCCTGATGCGCTCCTTCTCTCTCTGCCGCCGCTCCTTCTCCCGTTCTCGGTCTCTGTCGCGATCTGTGTCACGCTCCCTGAACTCTTTCCGCCCATCATCATCCCCTCTGTGAAAGAAGCACAAAGCCTGTTTCAGTATTCTGGTCAAAGTGAGTGATTTGTTTAAAAAAATAAATGACAGAAGCAACTAACTTCCTTCCTCGATCTTCCTTATTGTCAATGTTCTGACGCCTCTTATATTCATGGCTGCCCATGGGTCGGTCGTCTTTACTTGGCTTCTCTGGTTTCTTTCCCTTTTCCTTGTGCTTTTCCGCATCAGCTTCCTCGCCTCTGTCTGGTTTCTTCAGGAGCTACACAGATGAAAATAAAAGTTCCTGAGGACATATTGGAAAGTAAACACAGCTTAAAACTGCCTCAATCCACTGCAGCACACACACCTTAATTTTTGGCTCTTCTTTAACTTGGTCCTTGTCTTTCTCCAGCGGTTTCTCGAGTCTCTTCATCTTCTCAGCGTCCTTGCGCTTTCGTCTCTCCTCCTCCCGCCACTTGCGTCGCTCCTCATCCCGCACACGCTTTCGTTCAAGCTCCCGCCTCCTTCTCTCTTCCTTCTTTTCCTCCCTGATTCTCTGAACAGCCAAAATTTCATCTTGTGAGTTATTTCGTGTTTATTTCCTATTTTACAAATACATCCCACTACTTTTGAGAACCTAAGACTGGCGAACCCATTTCAAGCATCAAAACAATTTGTCCAAGTGAGAAACAGTAGTTAAGAAGAAGTAAACATTTTTGGACATTTTGGACACTATCATTTTATAGGCAACTGCCTGTAAAAGGACTATTTAAACAATTCAGTAACAGGACCTGAGTCCACCTGCCATCATGCAGTTTAAAACAACATAACATCACAATGTTGTGGTTCTGTACATTTACCTGCTTGTTTTTCAGGAAGTCCAGCAGAGGAGTTGTCTTCTTAGCTTGAAGGAGGAAACATAGTATGTTTAAATGAATCTTCCAGCAGCATGTCTATTCTAACATTTATACAGTAATGTTTCAGGTGAAACTTTTAAATTCAGTAACTTTTAACATACCAACAAGCTCCTTCGACTTTGCCTCGATCTCTTCCAGCAGGGTCTCAGGTGTTGAGGTCAACTTTTCTTCGTCTCCGTTGTAATATTCCAGGAACTTCTTGTAATCTGGATCTGAAGGAAAAGATAAATAGCGAAGCCTCCCTGATGTTTTATTTAAACTATATATGAGTTGATATCAGATACATGAGGCAAACACCACCAACAAATCAAGGCTGTTCTTTCTTTCTTTTCTCATTGAAAAAAATAAAACCTCTGAACTTGCAGTAAATCGAGCCATCATTGATGGTTATACAACTAAAATTCATCCTCACCCGTCTCATTTCTTTCCTACAAGGGGACAAAATATTTATATTTCATTAAAGTATCTGTATTTATCTTTACCTTCAGCAATCGTTCCACACTTTGCATCCCTCTTCTTGTTTTTTTTCTTGGCAGTTTTTTGGAAAGGGGCAAACTCTACGATGGCAGGATACTCCTGTCCTGTCGCACACAAACAGAATGAAGCTTCAATCACTTACAGGGAGATTTCTTGAGTTTGTTTATTTTGCATTAACTCAATTCTCTTCATACCTCTGTGGTCAATGAATACATATCCATCAAATCGGTCCCTGAACAGGACGATATCTTCTTGATTTCTGAAGTTGAGGTAAGCCCTGGCGAAGAGGTGCGGGTAGAGGCTGAAAGAGCAGAATAATGACATCAAGTTAAACAGTTCCTGACACTGGTTGTTATTTTATTTAACGACACGTGTTTAGATGTTTTTTTTTTACCTGGTGTCACTGGAGAAAAACTCCATGTAGTCCAGCTCTGGCAGCGGCTGCAGCTGCTCCTCCAGATCCTCCTTCGTCAGACTGGGTGGTAATCGCCTGATCACAATCTGGGAATGGATTATTGACAGGTTTTAGATATATGAGAATTACAGAATAGAGATCAGTGACACAGGGAGGAGGAGGAGGAGGAGGAGGAGGAAGAGGAGGGGGAGAGCAACAACTGGATAATGATGATGTTAGAGCTGGTGACAGTTTGTGTGGTTCCAAGATAAGAGGAAATAATACTTCATTAGTTCCAGAGTGGGGACATTTACAATATTACAGCAGCAAGAGTCAAAATAAGCAGCAGTAAGGAATATTTATATGTATGTGTAAGGATAACAACACTTCAGTGTAAGGAAAATTAAAAATAGAGAAAAATACGAAAGGATTAGAAACTAAAATAAACAGTGTAAAAAGTAGTATCGCTTAAAACTGAACTCCAGCTCAGCTCTGATTACACACAACTACTTCAAACCTGTTGTTATTTCTATGGTCAGAATTAGCAGAACTCGCTAAAGCTAAGCTAAGCTAAGCTAGCAAGCTTCACCTTTGTCATGGTCTCTTTCTTTTCCTTGGGCTTCTCCGTCTTTTCTCCATCTTCACACTTTAGCTCCACTCTTCTCTCCTTCGGTCGAGTGTTTTCTTTGTCTTCCTTCATGGTGGAAAACAAGCTGCTTTGTCTCGTGGTCGAGATTCAGCTTCACATCGCAGGTTGTTTACTTTGAGTTTTTAGCAACTTAGCCGCACAGCTAACAGCTAACAGCGAACCAACCAACTCACCGCAACTTCCTCTGACAGGGCAGCTCAGTGTTAGCACAGCAGGGGGCGCTGTTACTTTACACAAATGGCAGTATACCGTGAGTGTTAACGTGTTTTCTTATTATTCATCAGTTTTTAATTTATCAATTTATACTTTTTCATTATTTGACAGAAAATTCAAATTTAATTTTAAGGAAAATCCGCGAAATAAAACTTCCTTATTCCTTGAGATTGTTTTCCATCGACTGCCCTTCACAATAAAAGCAGGTTTAATCTTGCATGCTTGTATTGATTATTTTCTTCGTGGTAAAAAGTAGTCTTGTGCTCTATGTGCACTTAAATTAAGTGTTTCCATTTAATTTCACTTTATACTTTATGATACATTTTAAAGGACAATGGTAAACTCTTAGGGCTTAGCAATAAAACAATGTTAATAATTATTACAACACATTTTTTATCGTTAGTAATAAAACAAAAGTCGAAGGTTTTCGATATTGTAGACACATAATTTATCCAGCTCAGATAAATGAAATGTTTTGCAGTTTGTCAATGGTTTGTACCTTACAGACGAGTTTAAAACCATAACCGTCTCTCAGGACCAACAATCTGACTTTAAACTTCACACAAATAGGCATGTGATATTCACAATTATGATCATTGATGTGGACTAAAATGAAAAATCGTCGGATCGCACATCGTTAACCTAAAATTGACAAAAAAATAAACAGCTAACAACAGATGCTTTTATTTCGAAATCATCAGACAGGAAATTACTTCTTTACTCACCGGAAGAGGAACACAGGTCATCTGAAGTGAGCGGTGGACATTTTGTTAGCCTCTTAGCAAAATAAACGGTGGAGGAGCGTGTTTCTCTCGGTGTCAGTGAACCAGTGAGTCTCTGGCATCATGTGGTATGAAATCCTGCCGGGCTTCGCCATCATGACCGTGTGTCTCATCATCCCCGGAGTGGCCACGGCTCAGATCCACAAGTTCACCAACGGAGGGAAGGTGAGGACAGAGGAGGAGAAGGCTGCTAATGCTAATGCGAATGCGGCTAATGTGTCGGGCTGTTAGTCTTTTTCTACTTGAAACCACTTTGAGATTGAATCCTCCTCGTGTGTGTTTTTGCTGTAGGAGAAGAGAATCGCTCGGATTCCGTGGCAGTGGAGTCTGATGGAGAGGGACAAGCGCGTGTCTGGAACAGGAAAGTACTACGACTCCAAGGTGAGAGTCCATGTGTCACAACAACACTGCTAATACATGTCGTTTCTGCAAGAATGCACATAAATAAATGTATGAGAACATATTGACTATAGTGCAGAAAGTTAATTTAGTGTTTATGTCTATTTAATGAAATGTGTTTATAATGTTTACAGTGAAGTTATTTACATATTTGCACGTTTAAATACACACACGTCATAAGAACAGGAGTCATGATGTGTGGAATCAAGAAGTGAGTGTTGTTGATGTAGTTGAGAAAAGTGGAGAACACGTGTGTGCTGCTCAGAAAGTGATCCGTCTCCATCCTGTTGTTCCTTTACAATAAGAGTGATCCCACTACCCCTCACCGAACCCTCACCTTACATATAGAAAATGAATACGCACACATGTCAATGGTCTTTAAAGCCGTTGACATGCTTTTCACACAAAGGTATTTTGAACAATCACCAAAATCTGTCTTGAAGGCAAAAAAAGCTTTCGCCTGATTCAATTGGTCTCCAAATGATTTGTAGTATTTGAGAGGCTGCAGGTTTGATAATCTTTTTTTCTTTTTCTCCACAGGGACTTGAGAACATCCACTGATGACCAGGACTATGAAGACGATGTGTGTGATAAATGACATTAAAAGATTATATTTAACATTGATCTATTTGTTATTTTGGTCTTCTGTTATTGATTAAATTGTTCCATACTGGAAATCTATTCAGGCTTCTCGGGTCATTTGTTCAAGTCAAAAAAACAGACAAGAGAGTGGGGTTGAAGCTAAACTTTACACCTGTTTTTTATTGTAGATGTCACAGTGTTGTACTGGAGGAATATATATGTCTGGGTTCCTGGTTATCATACATGATAAATGTCACAAGCTGCATCAGTATATTGAGAACTTCTACAGAAATGAATAGCTGTTCTAATATGTTGATACTTAAATTCAATTATAATTGTGAGAAATTGCCACTTTCTTGCTTTATAGAATTATGAGTTTAACATCTAAGCTTTTGACTGTTGGTCAGACAAATCAAGTCATTTGAAGACGACACCTTGGGTTTTGAGAAGTTGAGATATTTTTCATAATTATCTCACATTAATCTTCACCTGAAAAGCCAAACCTGCTAAAAAAAAAACTGCCATGCCCAACATATAATATTAACAGGTGTTTAATGTGAAACCTACTTTGTTTACCTGTGAAAGTGATGAAGATCTCAAGTTTCTTCACTATGAGTGAACTGAAGTTGCAGGTTAGAGGAACAAACAGTCTAATAACTTTTCAGATTAAAACATTTCCTCTAAATCTGTCACTCACAACCTGAAACAGGAGCATTCAGGAAGTTGAAAGATTAATCTGAGAATGCTGAACAAAACAGGAAATCAAAAGAAGCTAAATAATGCATGACATTTCCCAAGTGTTTTGCTTTTTAAATTATTATGAATATGTAAAACCTCAGGACATAATAAAATAAAACCTAAATGGGACTAAGGTCACAAGCCACAGTTAAGAACCACTGCTCTCAGTGAAGACGACATTAAACACTGGTTGCAGAGTAGAATTGCACCGAGTACATTTAAAAGAAATCTAAGAACAACAAGATAACTTTGATGCGAAACTTTATTAATATTTGCAAACAATTTATACAAGAATTGTATGGCTGAACGTCTGACATGGAAGACGAGATCCAGCAGGTCAATAAGATGGAGACAAATAATACAACTGAAAACTTTTCAAACTTTGCACGTTTCTTTACAGTTACATTCCTCCCTCACACTGTACATCCCCCAAAACCAAAATGTATTTTCTCTCAAAATAGACACCTGAGGTCCCAGAATAAGATAAAGGTGTCTGATAAAAAAATAAAATAAAAAAAGAGAGGATCTGAGAGACAATGGTGGACGTTCACTTCTCCTCCTTGCCTTTGGTCTTCCTGTAAACCATTTCCCTGAAGCTTGACAGGATCTTGCTCTCCCTCTTCCTCCTCTCCTCCTGGTTGAAAGACGCCAGAGCTCTCTTCTCATCCGCACTGTAGATCTGGTTTTCCTTTCTCAGACGCACGGCCTCCATACGACGATGTCTGAGGGGTCACAGGTCAGTGTTACACACAGAACAGATGGATGCTTCTTTGATATGATTTAAATTGACAACATATATCTTGTTTATATATATATATATATGTTTCTTTTTTATTTTATAATTCATTTAGGGACCTTTTCCACTGAACATGTCCCTATAAAATAATAACAATCGCCCTCATTATATATTTGATGAGAGGAATCACGGCATCGTACTGACCCCTGTAACACTGAATTGCAGCCGTATAAATTGTATAGTGAGAGTTTTTGTTCAGACTTCTGAGCTTTGTGTACCTGCTGCCGCTCATCACGTAACCAGACTTCTCAAAGTTTGCAATCTCATCGCTGGTGAGACCGATCTCTCCTCTTCTCGGGATACGTTTGCCCGCTTTCACATACTCTGCCATCGCAGCACCTTCACCTGGCAACAGCGCATGACCAAAACTGGAGGAAAGAGAAACAGTAAAGAGATAAAAAAACGTTAATTAAAGAGTCATAAATGTAGAAAAAACATTTTGAAACCAGACAGTTTACTATCATAGGAAAGAAAACTGTTCCAGAACCAGTTATGATGTGAAAAACAGACAGACTCACTCCAATGGTCTGTCGTCCTGGGACATGCTGGTGAGCGGAGCTTCGGGGCCGACCACATGCTCATCAATGCAGGTTTTCTCCACCCACATCACTCCATTCGGATCCTCCTCCTCTTCCTCCCCCTCCCCTCTCTCCTCCCCCCCCTCCTCCTCCTCCTCCTCCTCAGACTCCTCCTTACTGGAGTTGCTCGGCTCCTTATGACTCTTCTTTGTCTTCTTTTTCTTGGACTTCTTGGATCTGTTACGAAGTGTATGATGTTTAAAAATATAAAATGTTATTGTCGTGTCTGTTTCTGTGAGAGTGAAGACATGTTGCTGCATACTGGCACTTACTTTTTGCTCTTCTTTTTCTTTTTCTTCTTCTTTATTTCTTCTTCTGGAAGAAAAACACATCAGCTCTGCTTTTATATCTGATTAAACTGACTGTATTGAGCTTTTTTAAAATGCACATAATTATGCCAATGTCTTACCATCTGATTCTGATTCCAGCTCACTGTCCTCTGAGTGCTTTTTGTTCTTTTTTTTCTTGGATTTCTTCTTCTTCTTCTTCTTCTTCTTCTTCTTCTCCTCTGTTAATGACAAAGGGAATTCTTGATCAATTCAAATGATACAGCACATCACAGCAATTCATCCACGTCCAAACAGCGCTCGGGTTCTACCTTCTGAGCTTGACTCTGAGCTGCTGTTTTTCCCGTCCTCTTCAACTGGTGTGAATTCATCAGAGCTGTGAGAAACAAAATAAGAAAAATAAATTCAACCTCCTGCTCCTGCACACACACACAGAGGATCACTGCAGAGAAAAGTGAACACATTAGGAAGAGAGGGTTGACTTACTCTGGTTCTTTTACTCTTGGTGAATATCCCCAAACTTCGGGACAACCTAACTCTCCGAACCTCTCCCTCTCTTGGAGACGTCTGGAACACATAGACAAACAGAGTCATCGCGGCACTTAACTGGCTATCTTATAATATACATTTTAAAATATGCTATGGGGAAAAACAACTAATTTATAGTTTTCATATGGGGAAATCAAATTTAAAACATGATGAGTTCATATATTGTAGGATCAATATTTGCAATGTTAGAAAAAATGATAATGATTTCAGCCATATTGCCGAGTCCTAGATGGCAGTTTAAGATAGATAATCGACATTAATTCTGAAAAATATTTCAAGTAGTCTAGTTCTGAGGCTATGGAAAGAATAAATGGGTTTTCTCACATATTTCCCTGATGCTGTTTTCATTAGACTGGGACCATGGAACAGACACGAAGATTAACCTGACAGGGTTTGTTAGGTTTCTGTTTAAATGTGCAACAAACAAAGTGTGGTAGATTTCATTAGATTTCACCTCTGGATTTTTTCTATAGAGAATCCCATAACTTACCTGGCTATAAAAGCCTCTTGTCTCTGTCTCTGAGCGTCGTCCCGCTGTTGTTCGTAGTAATAATCATCTTTGAAGCTGCCATGTTTCCCTGGAGCGTCTCTCTGCTCGGACCAGTGGTTGTGACTGTTGTTGTTGTTGGTGCTGCTGTTGTTGTTGGTGTGTCGCTCTCTGGACCTGGACCGGGACCGGCTGTGGCTTCCTATGCGGATCCGTCGGATGTTCCTCGCCTCTCGGAACCGACGCTCCCCCTCCTCGCGTTCCCTTTCCCGGTTCCGCGGCTTCGGGAGTTTAGGCCCGAAGCTGTACGGGGACAGGCTCCGCTCGCGGCTGCCGCTGCGGTTACGGCTGCGGGAGCGAGTCCGAGGTCTCCGGGCCCGGGGACTGCGAGGCCCCCCGCCGCCGTCAGAGCTCGACCGGTCCGAATGAGGCATAGCGACCGACCGAGACTTTAACAAAGTAAAGATTATATATTTGTTTTCTTTTACCGAACAAGTGAGATCAGAACACACAACAAACTGCGCTCATGTTTCCGCTCTCCGCCAATGTACGCAATTAGAGCTAACGTCCGTCCCCGAATACATTCCGGGTCTTCGCAAGCATGTGATACACATTGGTTCCGCTTGTACATAATTATGAGAAATGCTAGTTTGTCTATAATAATAACAACAACAACAACAATAATAATAATGAT